GTCGTGATGAACAGGGGAGATTCCTCAAGCTCTGGTTCAGGGATATGGTATATGGTTGGAAGGATGATCAACGGGGCTGTCTACGATCTCGATCGAGTCAGGTGGTGGTGGAAAAGTATGGGACAAGAGAATTCTGAAGCGATGCAAATTCATACATGACAAATCAAACAACTGCGTTTGAGACATGAGAGTGACTGCTGGTTCAATCACTGGAGTCTGAGCTCCCCGATGCAATGGCGTGGATGGACGAAATCCATGCATTATGATCTGTGTACGGATGTCAGACTGAAGCTGAAGCGGGGAATGCACTGAATCTCGACCATAGAGATTTACACTGCTTTGCAATGAAGACTTACGATGACCTTGCAATGCACGGCTAGCAGGATCTAAGTTCAATTGACATGCCCAAGACAGGAGTGTAGCTTTCGCTGAATGAAGAGTATACTCTACAGCGCAATCTTTAAGGCTAGAAAAGTGACTGACATAGCGTCGAAGGCAATTGATGGTCTGAGCATATGACATGGGTTCCAAGACTGCACCTGAGCCGTCGAGGCGGGGGAAAAGATGGTCAGGAATGAAGTGAGGTCCATATTTACTAATTGATGCGTCCCAGACATCATTCAAAGCTTCAAGCCACTTGAGAACCCAACTAGATTGGGGTCTTTCAGAAATTAACCCAAGGCATTGGACTGCAAATGGATAGCCAGATTTACTGGACTTGGCTTGAAAGCACGCTGCGCGCAGTGAAACATGATCCAAAATCAGTTTTCGTTGAATCGAAGCGAGGCCCAAATGCACACAAGGAATGATCCTCGGAATACTCGTTCCTGGAGGGAAAGATGGCCTTCCATGACTGAGAGCTCCAAATCGTGAACAACAAAAAGTGGCAAGGGGAAGCTCTCATGCGTTTCTTTGGATGAAAAGAAAAGGCTGCTAAAGATGGGTGAATACAAATCAACGATTTGCAATTGCAGGATGTTCGAAACCCATCTAAGAGCTTTGAGGGTATTCAGACTGATCAATGGCGACTGCTGAAGGGAATCTAAGTTCGGATCCGAATCAGACCACTCCAGGTGCATCAAGCGAAGAACATCAACTAATTCAACAATGGAGCAGTGCTGCAACTCTAGTCCGAGATCAATTTGCCATTGAGCTAGGTTCAAGAAAGAGATACAGTATCTTTTGATGGTACTTGGGCTAAACTTACGAATAAGAATCGGAATAAGATCAGGTCTACTGATAAGAGAATTGTTGTTGGCAAACAAGGTACTAAAAGTAATGCGCAATTGACAGACCTGATCAAACAAAAGCTCAGCGAGTTTGCGTTGTCTTGACTCCACACTCTGCTGTGATCGCAATTGAGGCCGCGAACCAGTGACCTTGAAGTGTGAGTCTGAATGCGTCGAATCCGGGATGGGGTCATCAGGTGTGAATCCAGCTGCATCATTCAAAGGCTCTGGCAAACAACTGGATGGATATGGTTGACTACGATGTTCCGTGCGGAAAACTGGTTTTTGAAGAGGTGCAAAATGTTCAAAGGACTGACTTCTACGTGGCATAATCACTGGGGCGGGGAGTGGCGATGAAGCGGCCGAAAAATTCGAAGACGGTCGAATGGGACTGGCATTGGGAAACTTGTCAATCCTGTGAGGTGCAAGCTCACGATTGTGTGGAGGAGTCTCACACACTGCTTTCGGCCGAACAAGCTCCGTCTGGGGCCCCGATAGCGTTTGACTTTGAACGGTGCATCCATCCCGGAAAAAGGGCTGCGGGCTAGAAAGAACGTGAAGCAATCTAGAAACAAAGTTGAGGCAAGCTGAACAAAGTGAAGAAAGGTGAACGCGTGCCAAAAAGCATGTCCAAATGCAATGAAAGCGTGAACAAATGCGTGCATACATGAAAACGATGCTACAATGCCCAACATAGCAGATTCACCGTTCGCAGGTGGTAACTGCTACCCCGGAACATGAAGGATCTCAAAACATTACGTGAATGCCAGCGCAACACGCGAAGGCCCCCAAGCAAGCTCAGGAAGACACTTCCCCAACAAAAATTGATGTGACAAGCAAGTCTCCAGTTGGAGACATATCAGTTGTCACACTGATAAGAACAGATACTACACTTGATCATAGCCAAAAGGCCGAGAAGGTATGATTGTCCTCGCCTCCTGGCCTCTTCATGTGAGACTATGTTAGCCAGCCTCGACCAATCAACAGGCCGCAAGTAACAAAAGAATCAGCTGCCACAGCTGATGGAGGCAGGTAGCCTTACAGGGTTTGCTCAGGGAGACAACCAACTCATCCTTATCGCAGTTTTCGCAAGCAGAAAGCACCTCCACGCCTGACTCTCCAATCGACCACCCTATGCAAAGCACAGATTCTAAGCCACCGTATGCCGTCCTAAGCATGTTCGATGGGTGTGGCTCGTCTTTGGACATTCTTATTGAGAAGTTTGGCTATCGCCCCAAAGTTTGTCTATTATGTGAAAGAGATGAAATCCTCAGATATTTGGTTGCTGAAAAACATGGAATCTCTGTAAATGCTCAGTGGATACACAGTCTCAAAGGAGGAATGTTTTTCTATGCAAATGACGTTGATCTCATCTTTGATGATAAAGCAAGAATCTTAAGGGAGTTCGTCACCCTTAGCGACTACTGTCATGTTTTTGTTATTGGAGGCAGTCCCTGTACAGATCTCACATACGCAGGTCAAGAACATGGTCGATTAGGTATCTGTGGCCCTGACAGTGTCTTCTTTTTCACGATGCACCTAGCCCTCTACCTTCTGGGTACAGTCCTCCCAAAAACACATATCCGCTTTCTCCACTATGACCATTTTAGTTTTATTAGAGCCTGCCTTGGTCTCTCA